TTTAAATTTCAATTTTATGTACAGAAAAGATTCAAACACGCTACAATTATCTTCATATTTATAGAGACTAAAGATGGCACAGACAGTTCAAAAAACAGCTTCTGGCTACCAATACTGACCTAGCATGGAAAAATCAATATAATTGCAAAAGCAATTAAGCATGACAAGTAAGGAATCCAGCCTTTGCTCAAACTAAAGTCATTTAGATTAACACAAACATAACAGCCAAAATACTCCTTTCTCATAGACTGATCCTAGCAAAATTGAATCTGCAACACATCAAATCACAATTATCACTGGGTGTGTGCCTAAGGTCACTAGGGTTAACAAAATCACCTTCAAGACTCACAGTGCTGGCAACGGGTTGCCACAAAGGTTAAAACAATGCAGACAGAGTGAGGGGATGGATTATTTCAGCAGCCTTGTAACTTGGAAGCATCTAAAGTCACTTGGAGCAAGTACCAGTACTTTCTCAATATAAAATACCAGAAAAACCCCAGTAATGAGTTAGCACATTATGAATACAGGGTGTGTTGCAAAAAAGCACATTCTACTTCTAATGTTTTCTGAAAACAGGAAAGCAAGGAAACTGCCCCTCCAAACAGTATGCTCTCCATTAAACTAAAAAGTCTTTAGAGAGAGGAATTGGAGAGGCGAAAACTCTGGTACAGAGAGGACCAAATGCACAGAAAAATGAGTCTAACTAACCTGCAGAATCAGACTTCACTAGCCAGAAGAATTGCTGGCTATTCCTATAGGCAGTCAATTAAGTGATCAGAAAACAGAACTCTGCAAAAGAGTAATTTCTTGTAAATACAATCACCCTGTATGTATTTTTCAGTGAAGAAATAGCTCACAGTGCCTTAAGGAAGTGTGAAGCTTCCCCCTTCAGATCTCATGAGAGAATTTGGCCACTGTGAACTAACTTTAAACCACAGCAGAGCTATGGGATATGTTGTGTTCAGATGCAAACAATGACCCCGTGTTATGAACACATCTCCAGTTTAGAAAAGCACAATATTGTTTGGCTTTATGAACACATGAAAATTGAAATGATACATTCAGAATGCCTCTCTCTGGGTCAGTGAAGCTTTATGGCTTTAATCATGAGGAGAAGAATTAGCACATGAAATGCTCAGAACAGCTCTGTGCACATTGTCTGTAGAAAAATGGAAATGAGTAAGACAAACTAACTCTAAGAACTGTATCTAACCCCCTCATAAAGCTACAGGACCTTGGTGCTTTAATTCAATTTCTTTCCTTGTGATTAGACTGAGAATGATTTGAAAATATAAATATAAAAGTACATAAAAATCATGGCATAACAGAAAATAGTAATGAATAGGTAAGACAATTCATGATTATTTTCTTCAAGAACTAAATTTGCCTTCTATTTTATCAACTGCATTGCAAACATACTTAACAATACTGATTTGCAATTTTTTTTTCCAAACCCAAAGAGCAAGGAGATTTTTTATGCTGATAATAAATAACACTTCCAAATTCCACAAGTTCTGTGAGAAAAATAAATAAAGCCTTTAGAAAAAAAAAGTAAACTTCCATTAGCAGATTTCAGGACTGACATTCCCCTTGCAATGCAAGAAGCTGCAGAGATTTTGTTCAATTGTATAATAATGGCATCAACAAACTGTAAAGTGCAAAATTCCTAACTAAAATCCTGAATAACAACAGAAAATAAATTCTTCTCTCATTTATTTTGTGTCAAATATATTAATCATCTGCACGATGAGAAAGCCTGTAAGATGAGAACACATTTTGAAAATGTGCAAAACATCTGGAGACATGGAAAATGAGCAAACAAAATGAATACCTGCACAAGCCCTTTGAAGCAAAGTTCTTCTATGGGTGCCAACCCTTAAATATCAGTTGGAATACAGTACAATTTGCTACTGACTCCATATTTTAAATTTAGTAACTTATATAAAAATATTTCTCCCACATATATATTTGACAGGAAAAGAGAACAATTTTATACTCTTAAATATGATCATTCTTTTTTTCCCCTTTTTTTCAGAATATTAATTTTCACAAGCTGTCCCTTTCGGCAGGGCCTCCTCATGCCCTCAAACTGTTTTGCCTTTCTACCTCAGCTTGTTCTTTTGTATAGCTCTAAATATATGGTTTTAGACTTAATTTTTTTTAACCATAGCTTCAACATACTCATACAAGAATGAGAGGAAAGTAATATAATTTTTTTAGCACATTCCTCTGAAGGCTAAGAGTAACCCTAACAGAGATCATTCCCTTAATGCATAGACCTATCATTATGTCAACCTACTGGACAGGGCAAATGTCTGGAAACCTCTCAGCAGGCCTCACAGATCATCAAATTAATCTTTTCCAAATAGAGCTGTGTTTTCATAATCAGCATACTTTCAATTGTTGTCATTATTTAGCAATCAGTCCACAGTCATCATTAAAACCAGTCCTTCCAGACCCTGCAGCAGCTTCTAGTCGGGTACTTATACTAGTAACAGATAAAGCTGCTCAGCAGTTCCATGGCCCAGGCCAGGAGTTTATTTACTTGTTGAAATTTAGATCCGAAACTTCAAAAGTGTAAAAAACCACCAAGCGAATACTCAAATAAAAAATGGGGGGAGGGATGAGAGGAATGTGTCCCTTTGCTATCTCCTTGAAGCAGCCTGTGCTTCCTGACTTCCACTGTGGTGCCAGAAAACAAGTTAAATTCAAAGGCATTCTTCTACTGGTGTCAGTGGGTGGTGGACCAGTTCCTAAGTCTTTCTCTTTGGCATTATGAGCTTTCCAAGTTCCAGTACTACCAGTCAAACCAAGTTTGACAATTAGGACAAGGGTCTGTCTGTTAGTGCTAAAGTTTGATGAGCCTGAGATCCCTGTTCCAACATTACTAACACTAGTTTGCAGAGTCCTATCTCCTCCAAGTGAATCTCCAAAAAGAATCCTGTGTGTTTGTAACTTGAGATCATGGTTCAACAGTCATTAGTACCAGATTTGAGCAGTGCTGAATTACACAGAACTAAAAACTGCCTCTTGATCAAGTGCAGACAAAGCATCTGTAAAACCATCCAGTGTGTCCAAAGTAGAGAACATACCAAACTTCATGGTTTTGCACTGATTGCCGGAGAATGGAAAATACTTGATCTGATGTCGAGTGATGACAATAACACTTTCTACTCATTTAAACTTTCTGAATAGAAGAACAAAGAGAAAGATTTTATACCAAGTCAATGTGTTTTGCTTCATCTGTCTGTGGCATTTTGATTCGGGATTAGGATCAAGAAGTTGGAGGTTGGGTACTATTGAAACATGGCCTGGATCAGAAGCTGATTCTTATTTCTGCATAAAAGAGTTAAGAGAAGTGTGCACTGGTGTTCTGCACAATATGGTCACAGCACAACGTATCAGTGACTAGCAGTCATGCTGAAAATACAGGCAATGCTTCCCATTAAAGGGCTGTTCATAATGTGACTTAAACAGCATCTTGGGTCAAGTCAAAGACAATGCTCTTCACTCAGAGATAAAATAATGACGTAATTCCAATGACTCACTGGGAATTTACATGCTGGTTATCTTACAGGTTTTCTTAAACAAATCTTGCCAGTAAGCAGCAGGAACATAATTTGAATGACCACTTAAGAAACAGCTATTTTAAGGCATTTTGATTATTTTTTTCGTTTGCCCCTTTCTCTTAACAATAGAGGAAACAAACATACAGAATATTTGAGATAACTACAGATCTCAGGCTTTATGTTCTGTTGAGTGTACACCTGTAAACAGATAAAACGGATGCCAGAAATACCTAAAAGACATAACTGGAATTTTGAAATGCTTACTCCCTGGGGAGAGTAGCAACATATCCTTTACAGGCTCCCTTGAGGGTTCCTAATGAAATTAGAAGGAGAATCTTAAGTGACATAATGTACATTAAATACATATTTCAATACTTTCAATTAGCTCAATTGGGATAATTTTGACCATAATGTTTTCTGTTATGGATACTGCTTGTTTCCAAAACCAAAAAAACAATACATTGTTTCACTTTCAGGACCTTAATGATGACTGCAATAAAGCAATGAGTGTTTTGGTGTGTTTCAAGAGTTTTTTCTGGATTTCCTCAAAATTTATTAGGTGTGACTGAGACAATGCTGCCCATTTTATCAGTATTTAATGCAATTTATATTCCATAGCAACAGTTCCTAGTTCAAGTATTTAAAAGCTTTGCTGAATTTTTTTTTTAATTAGGAAAATGTGGTCTTGCAAATCAAGTATCCGAAGAAGGCAAAGGAATTGTGCAAGTTTTTTCCTGGTCTATATGACTATCCTCACTTTGTGAGTGCATTCTATCTTGGCTATGGAGGAATACTGAAAACATGCTTTTCTTTCTTCACATAGCTCTCAACCTATTTACCTTGATTTCAGTATTTATGTTACACATCCAGTGGAACAATGTCTGGATGCCTGTGGCTAATTTGCTAAGAAAATCCTTCCTAACTGAGTGCCCTGGTATTCACAAATATCTGTAAAACATATTTTCTCATGTGTGTTTGGATGTAACTGTACCATGTAATGTTGCACTTCTGAAAGGGAGTTCCTTGCTCCTCAGATTAAGATTAAAGTAAGATTAATCAAAAATTATTGCCTTCTTTTTTAAATTTTGTTTTAAAATACACCATCTTTGGAATTTGAGAACGTCTGAGGATTTCAAGTAATACCAATAATATTTACTTTCTTCATGTACAGCTGTAGAAGAGAATACTACATAAAAGTTAAAGATGACTCAGCAAAGGACTTTGCCAGTGTTTCATAGCAGAAAACTCAGAATTCAAAAAGAAAGAGCTTCTATGGAAGAGAAAAGGTTAAAAAAATTTGAAGAGTGCATTACTTCCCCGTTGACAAGCACCAATGCAGAGTCTATAAATAACTTTAAATAGAAATTAAAACGAGTTGCATGCTAAGATATCAGAAACCGTGATTTATTTTCTCAAAGACTTTATACTCACAATCTCATCTCCTGGCAACCAATATCCTTCTTGTTCAATACCAGCTTTTGACCCTTTACACCCCACTGTCAGGGTTTCCACAATGAGGCCATCCTTGACAGCTAAACTCAGCTGACGGGTGGTTTCTTTTGGATGCATACCATGGACTCGAGACATGTACCTGCACATAAAGCATAACAGTCTGTAAGTACTAGTGATAAATTATAAAATGTGTCAGCAAAATATACACTTTTTGAAATGACTTAAAATAATACAGAATCTAAACTTTAGATTGTTTTTAAACATTCAAAATTTGTACAATTTCCCCCTTTACTTACTTACGTCTTTTCTTCCCCTTGCAGTTATAAAATTTGTACAATTTCCCCCTTTACTTCAAATTGTCTTTTCTTCCCCTTGCAGTTACCATGTATAGACTTAGACAAGTAATAGCACAGTAATCTTCTACCAAAAAATCCCCAAATTAACACACACACTGCTTGGGCTTGTCTGTGCCACATTTGTGCCCTCGAAATGAAGTGAAACTCACACTTCTCTAATACATCCCATAGTGTACATGAGTCTGGAGATCTACCAACGAATCTTTGTGACACTTGTGTGTAAAACACATTTATAAAAAATGTGAAATTTATGTATCACATCTGAGAACCCAACAGCTAGAGTTAACCAAGTAAGTGGTTTTTCTCCTTTTCTTGAGATAACCACAATGATCACACTGTGAAGAACTGCACTGATGAGAAAAAAACATATGCAGCCTAAACTGTGTATATACATGAGGTTCAGCTGTGTACTGCTGACCTTTACCCAGTATCATTTACTTCTAGGCCAACACCTAATATTCACTTGGAATAAACAACATAAAATGATCTTCTCTCAAATAAGATGACCTCCCTGCTTTAAGATCATTACACTTCAGATTTTTTTCAGAAAATTCCAAGAACATATCTATGAGTTGCTGCACATGGAGACCAGAGCTAACTGAATTTGTCTCCATTTTTGTTTCTCCAGGTCTTTCCTGTACCTGTTTCCTGAGAGAGGAATTTGCCTGCTTTAAGACAAAGCTCTCATCTATAGTATCCTCTATTTCATGCTTCATAATGAATTCCAACAAAAATGACCCTTTTGTGACTGTCATCACAAACACCTTCACAAAAAATACGTAATTATTATCATGAGCAAACTTGAGGAAAATTTATTTTAAAGCAGTAGCAATACATGGGGGGAAAAAAAAGTTCCATCACTTCAGATTGTTTTTAACAACATGGCTGACAGGAATTTTTAATGCCTTAGAAATTATAAACTTAAAATGAGGAATTGGTCAAGTCTCCAATCAACCTATGTCTTTGAAGACATTTATCTTTCAAAATTCTTACTGGTTTGGATGCATAAAGGTCTTTTCCAATCCTGCTTTCTCGCTCCAGCTTTTGCTGGAACTGGTTTAAGCTAATCTAATCTTTTTGTTTTGCTCTAAAGGAAACTAAATGCATATAATCATGTAGTAGATTTCTGATTGAGTAGAAGTGTATATTTGTGTAGTAAACTATACAATAATCAGAGCAGCACGGGACATTCATAAATTTCTGCTTTGTATCAGAAGCATTTACATAAATGCAGCATGTTTGCAGGATCTTGAGTTTTGTTTGGGGTTTTTTTAGGATAAAAACTCTTCGAGGCAGATGCTGCCATTTACAATATTTTACAATGTCTACCACAACATGGGCCAAGTCTGATTGGGTTGTGCAAGCTACCACTGCATAAAACGTAAGTAATAATAAATGTAATTAAAACAGAAAGAACACAATTCTGTGTGAGTCTCTGATCCAAACTAATATAGGAATCTTATGCTGGCTGGCAAATAGGATCAAGAGCAAACTAGAAGATAAGGCACTTCAGTTCTGTACCACACTGGGTGGATGCTCATCTGCCCAACCTGATCCCTCTCTGCTTCTGCAGAAACCAAAACTCAACATGAGGACCTGCTCAAGTGATATTAAACACCACAAATGATTTTTCCAAGCTCTCCAATTTCCATGCTCTTAAAAAGGCCGAGACTGAAATCTATGTACTTCACTTTCAAACAGAGTTCAACTGAACACCACTGCTTTGTGAAAGCATTAAGTGCTGAAGCTTTAAAACCACATGAAAACAACTCATTTACTTATAAGCATTAAGTGCTGAAGCTTTAAAACTGCATGAAAACAACTAATTTGCTTCTATACTCATGTTCCATGTATTTCACATGTGGGCACATATGCACAAATTTCTGCAAACACAACTAGCTTTTTTAAGTGCAAACTATCTTTGTCAGCTTTGCTAATGTTAGTGGGTTTTCATCAAATTTCCATTTTTAACTCTGTACTAACAACCTCCCTGACAGAGCCACCACACTCATGGCGTCTGCAATTTCTTCAAGACTTTAACTGGTCTCAAAATACAGATCATAGGCTAAGTACCATTTTTCACATTTTACTGACAGAACAAATCAACTGAAGACACCATGTATTTTGCATTACATCACCCTAGCTGCAGGTTTTGTCATTTCTCACTCACATCTCTGAACAGGACAGATATAAAATAGAAACCAAAAAGCCTTAAACCAACTCTAATCAGCTAAGAGGTTTAATCTGCCTATTAATCCACTTTGGCATGGTGGGCACTAGAAAAAAGGCTCAGAATTGTCCATTTCCTGAAGACACCATGTATTTTGCATTACATCACCCTAGCTGCAGGTTTTGTCATTTCTCACTCACATCTCTGAACAGGACAGATATAAAATAGAAACCAAAAAGCCTTAAACCAACTCTAATCAGCTAAGAGGTTTAATCTGCCTATTAATCCACTTTGGCATGGTGGGCACTAGAAAAAAGGCTCAGAATTGTCCATTTCTCAACTCCAATCTGTGTTCTTAACCAGAGTGAAAGTACTGCCACCAACTAAACTGTCTCCTCATTTTCTCCAGCTGTAAATCAGGAGTAAGAAATCCCCAATGGTTTTTTGAAGAATACTTTAGTCAATGTTCAGACTGTGCAGTCTGGAGGTCCACAGGGGCTGTTTTCCATTTTAAAAATAAAACATGATCAGCTTTCATAGGAAAGCACACATATGTAGAGAGAATGCTTTTACTTCAAAGAGTAGAAGTACTGTTAGAAAAGTGCCCCCTACCCTCAATTTTTATTTATATTAAAACTTGTGAAATGTATGTGGCTAGATATTCACAAATACTATAAAACAACACTGCAGAGTTTAGATGAAATCCTGTTTTGTTTGTTTACAGTCAGGACAGCAGCTTAATGAAGAAGTGATTAAGACAGAGGATTTGAACCAGAAGACATAGTAAAAGTTCTTTAATAATGCAACATGAAAAACTGTCGCAACATGTGAAAGATGCTGGAAACACAAAATAAGTTAAAAGTCAGCCTAGAGACAGAAATAATGATGTTTAGAGTCCTAAATACTACGTCAGCCTCATTGCTGGATCAGGCAAAAACAATACTGCAATGTCTTTGTGCAGAAGTGACACCATTAATCCAGGGAGCACAAGTCTTTTCCTGGCACTGCATGCACCGAAGCATCTGGCACCAAGTAGTTAAAAAAAACAAGTAGAGATATAAAGCAGTTGTTTTCAACAAAAGCTGATTAGCCTTACCTTGGAGACAAGGAGTGGGTAAGGAATACTGGTTTGTTATGCTCTTAACCAGTTCTCTATATCAACAGGTTGAGAAGGGTAATGCAGTCCCATACTGCTATTACATAGCCAGACTCAAGAAGTAAAGCAAATACACTCAGATCTGTGAGAATAAGGCATGGAGAAAAAGTAAAATCCCCTAAATCAGCAAACCAGCCCTAATCAGATAGGAGGCTGAAACAACCATTTCAAAATAGAATTTCACTGTGCTAATCCCTATATAAAAAAAATGAGGGTCTGTCTGATGAAAACCAGAGGTTTGGCCTGATAATCTCCATGTTAAATTCCAAATCTCACCAGACGAGGCTGCCTGTCTGCAGGATACAGAAACAACTGAACTGCTGCTGAATATCAGAGTATTTATACGAGTCAATATTTTCTCCATTTATAAACTGGCAGCACAAGCCTCCTTGACATTAGCATGGAAGAATCCAGCAAATCTAGCAAAATTACAGTTTTTGTAATCAACTTCTAAGAGCCTAATAATGCATGTTTTCAATTATTGCGACACCACTTGGAAAACAAAGTCTTCCATCTTTAGCCTGTAGTTTGTTCTTCACCACCCCTAAGCAAACTTCATTGCCACACCATCAAATGCATATATATATCTTTAGAAATAGGACACTACCAACAGAATCAGGGAGATGCATGTGTGCACTTGCCTAATATATGTGCACATCTGTCTGACAGCAAAAGAAAACTTTAGCGGAGAATGATAGAGGATAATCATTAACAGATTTGTAGATTGTATATACTTGTGCATTTAGTACACAAAATACCAACCAGCAAAATGTGAAACAATTATTTCAAACCTACTTGGGACTGCAAATAACCAGTATTCAGGTCTTTTCAAATTTAGCAGCAATAAAATATCAGCATATCCTTTGGTTTCTATTCCTTATTCTAGTTACCCATCCTAAAACCTTGACCACCTCTCAGATGACACAGGGACACCCAAGGGGTCAGCAGAGCTGGAGGTGAGGACTTCAGCAGCTCCCAGGGGCCACATAGCCAACAACCCACCTGAGGAAATGTGTGTGGCCCTCTAGGCTCTCTTTCCTTCACAACAACAAACTGCAGAAGCTCCTGTAACTCAAGCCACCACCAACTGACAACTGGATTTTGCCACCTCCCTTTGGAAAACAAAAGTAGACCACAGGAGTACCCTGACCCACCACTAAGCCCCATGCCCATCCAATATACAGGACATTGCAGAAGCACCAAAATCTGTTCAGCACGGGACCAATTCACTCCTGAAACTTCAAACTAATATTCTCAAACTCGTCAGTGTTTATGATGCCTTTCTATTCAAACCTACATCTAATACATGTGTTTCATAACACACCTTAAAAGCGAAGAAAAAAAATTTGGTTTGATCTAAGGGGTGTGGAGGACACAGACTCTAAAGCTATGATCACCATGGGAGCAAAACACATACAGAAGTAGCCAGAACTTGCAGAGGGATCAGATGGTGAACT